TTACAGGTGCAGCTTTCTCTCCACCAAATCCCAAGGCACAGACTCCTAAATAAAATGACTTTTATGAGGCAGATACAATCATTAACACCAGTTTGCAGATAAGGAAAGAGAAACTCAGTGAGGTTAATAACAAACATGACTAGTGAATGTCTAACCCTAGAGAAACTCAGTTCTGACTCCAAGTTCTTCCCATTAATCACTATACAAACAGGCTCCTGCTGTGCACCCACCCCATCCCACCCCACCACCCTAACACCCTAACTGATTTCCTTAGCAGGCTAAATTTTTCCCAAGCCCATTGTTCTATATATTCTGTGTAGTCCTTTTTTGTTGTTGTTTAGTTTCATTTATCCCCCCCTTTCAAAAAAATTTAGTAATTAATACTAATAGTAATTAATGAGACCAAAAATCCACTTGAAAGATAAGAGATCCATGGTCAACAAGCACATGAAAAGATGCTCCACGTTGCTAATCATCAGGGAAATGCAAATTAAAATCACAATGAGATACCACCTTACACCAGTTAGGATGGCCAACATCCAAAAGACAAGGAACAGCAAATGCTGGCAAGGATGTGGAGAAAGGGGAACCCTCCTACACTGCTGGTGGGAATGTAAATTAGCTCAACCATTGTGGAAAGCAGTATGAGGTTCCTCAAAATGCTCAAAATAGAAATACCATTTGACCCAGGAATTCCACTTCTAGGAATTTACCTTAAGAATGCAGCACTCCAGTTTGAAAAAGACAGATGCACCCCTATGTTTATCGCTGCACTATTTACAATAGCCAAGAAATGGAAGCAACCTAAATGTCCACAAGTAGATGAATGGATAAAGAAAATGTGGTACATATACACAATGGAATATTATTCAGCCATAAAAAGAAAAGAAATCCTATCATTTGCAACAACATGGATGGAGCTAGAAGGTATGCTCAGTGAAATAACCCAGGTGGAGAAAGACAAGTATCAAATGACTTCACTCATTTGTGGAGTACAACGACAAAGCAAAACTGAAGGAACAAAATAGCAGCAGACTCACAGACTCCAAGGAGGGACTAGTGGTTTCCAAAGGGGAGGGGTGGGGGAAGGTGGATGGCAAGGGAGGGAGAAGGGGATTAAGGAGCACTATAATCCACAGTCACAATATAGGTAGGTCACAGGGAAGGCAGTAAAGCATGGAGAAGACAAGTAATGACTCTACAGCATCTTACTATGCTGATAGACAGTGACTGCAAATGGGGGTGGGGATGGGGGTGGGCAGGGTGAGGACTTGATAATGTGGTTGAATGTTGAAATACAATGTTGTTCAAGTGAAACCTTCATAAGATTGTTTATCAATGATACTTTAATAAAAAAAATTTTTTAAGAGATAAGAGATCCTACCGGCTTGGGTTATGAAAAAAAATCAACTTTTACATGTTTACTAATTTTGCCCCTTTGCCATGTTACATAAAAGTGAGGATTCTAAGCAAGATGTAAACCCCCAAGCAAAATGGCTTTTATCCAATGATAATCTTTCCTTTTACTCTCGGAAGTCCTCCAAAGGCTCCCTGTCTTCCATTACTGGATTTTCTCTAGGGACTCAGACTCAAAGGTCACCAATCTGCTCAGACAGAATCAAACTGGATGAAGTCTGACAGACAACCTGAGTTGGCACATATGAAAATGAAAATCTGAGTTAAAAACTAGACCAATCTGAAGATGATTATTTGAAACAGAGAGCAAAACACATTCGTTTTTTCATTTTTCCCCTGCAGAGTCTATTTCATTATTTCATTTTACTCAGGCATTTGAAAAGCTAATGTGTTTAGATAACACAACAATTCTGCCATCCTACAGACAGATGCCTTTTCACTAGACACTGATATAGCCAACAAAAGGATGTTCCGTTTTGACAAAGTCACTCACTGCAGGTCTCTTCTCTCCAATTAAAATATGGTTTGACTTACAAGCCACATTTCAGGAAAAGATCAACTAAAAAAAAAAAAAAATCCACTAAGAAAGTTTTTTTGTCGGGGGATGTTGGGTGGGTGGAGGGGGCTGAAACATTTCCACCAGAGGGCACTGTCCTCACTGACAGTAATAAAACACAGCACTCCTAATTTAAAGCACTTTGTATAAATTAATATAGCCCCAAATTAATCTCTTTCATTGATGAACAATGAAATTGCCTTCAAATCTAAAGTTCTATAATTAAATAATATATAAAATAAAACTTTTCTTTCCAGAAAGAATGGTAAGAAAAAACATTTACAGCTTATTATGTGCCAGTCACAGATCTAAGAACTTTACATATAAACTCATATAATCTCCTCATACTGTAATAATAATCCTCACTTTACATATGGGGAAACTGAAGTAACTTAACAGGGTCACCAAGCTAGTAATGGGCAGAGCCAGGATTCAAATTCTGACAGACTCCCAAGTTCGTTATCAAACCTACAGGAAAACAGAATCCCAATAAAAGGAGATACATTTCTGAAGGTATTTAGCTATGTCACTGATTGCATCACAGCTCAAGAAATAAATAAAATTAGCTTATTAAAGGTACTAATTCTGTCAACTTGATATTTAGTATCAACTAATAATAATCTTATTAACTGTGTTTTAACATAATTGTCACATGTACATAAATTCCTCCCAGTGAGGGGGACATATAGCTGGCACTTATTTGCCAGCTATATTCCACTAAAAAGACCAAAAATCTAGATATAAGAAGTAGTTAAGAGGAGAAGGATCAGCTCTTCATATTTTTAAAGATTGATAATAAAAAGTATAAACTATAGGCAGAGCTATACCTTAGAATAAAATATTCTTAGTAAATCATTTATTATTAGGATATGTTGTGACTCTCTAAACTCTTGTTTTTGTAGCTTACTTGCACCCCCTGTTATATTTCCATCCTTGGGACACATCTGTGATTCTCTATAGGCTAGCAACATACTTTGTAATGGGCAAGTATTCAAATATTGTTGGGGAAAAAACAGAATGCATGTCTTGAGAAATTTACTTCCCTAATTTATTAGAAATCTGGAAAGCAAGGTATTTCATTCCATCACAGGTAAACTTGTTTCAGACAGTCAGATTACAATTTCCTTAGATATACTTCAGCAGCGATTGGGCTGTGTGCATGTGCTGAAACAGACTCATACATACATGCCTTCCACATCAATTCAAGCATTCATGTTCCTTTTAATCTAATTAGTCCACTTCCTACTTGCAGAATTTCTTTAATTCAGTACATAAAGACCACAGACGAGGTACTCACTCCAGTATTATGTGTGCGAGCAACACATTAGTAACAGTCTATCAATCAAATGGGGGCTAATTAAAGGGTATCAGTATATTAGACTATTAGGCAATTTTTTAAAAGAGTGAGGTAGCTCTATGTGTATGAACACAGAAATGGGAAAAGCAAGGTGCAGAACGGGTGTACCATGTTAGCATTTGTACAAAGCAAACACACACAACTGGGAACTTGAGTCCACTCCAGGCAACAAATAGAGACTAAGGAATGGGGATGGGAGAAGACTTCCTTTCCGAATACCCCTTTGAAAAAGTGTTTGAATTTTTTAATCAGGTCCATGAAAGATCTTTTGTAATTATAATCGATGATAAAGTTCATACTTTAATTATCAGTTTTTAGAATTTTTAATGAAAGTGAAATAGTTAAAGAACTAGTCTAATGCTACCTGATTTGTGGTTGCTTCACTGCACTCAAGTCTGCTTTCCACTTAAGGTCTTATACATTTGGGACAAATGAGCCATGGGAAGTTTTGGTTCACCGCTGCTGGTAGAAGCATTGGTACTATTGTCCTTGATCTGCCCTTTAGATACGGAACACAACAGACGTTATTCCAAGTCATTCGCTTTTTGGATATATTTTATATCTGCAAGCTTAAAAACGTTAGGTCCAGACTTCCTGGAATAACAGATGGCATATTTACTTGAAGCTGAAGCACCGTTACGTGAGTTCATACTCGCTGGCTAAGCCACAGTGTGAGGGAAGGGTGTCTAGGCATAATGCTTCCATTTTTATCCTGCTCATTCCTGAAAATCCACCAGGAGATTCTTTTCACTCTCTAAAATTAACTGTTCTGTATATGAAGCAGTATATGGATATCTGATCTTAAATGAGAATGTTATCTGGAAATGGCACCATCTTTCATAATAACATTTTTAAAGTGGCCCTCTTATTTTTAGCCTTTAGGGATTGTGGAAATAACTACAACAAAAGCTGACTGGTTCTGTTACTGTAGTTTATTTAATTCACATCTGACTATCTGTAGTTTTTGTCAAGTAAAGGCTATTAACAGAAAATAATCTTTTCTCAAGTCTAAAACTGCACTTAGACATTTCAGAGTCAGTGGAAGGTGAGCCATAGGAACCCAGGCAGGCATGGCGAGAGACCACCTGCACTTCAGGTAAGGGCTGAATGCATTCTGACGCAGACCAACTGCAGTTCAAACCCCAGCTCTGACATCCACAAGCTGTGGGACTTTGGGCAAGTCTCCTCACCTATAAAATGGGGATCTCTCACTTGTAAGGTTGTTGTGAGGTTTAATGAGATAAGGCATGAAGCACCTAGCTTGGTGTCAGTCACACATTACACAGGAAAAAAGCGGGGGTGGGGGGGTGTTGGGGTTGGGCAAGAATTGTACCTTTGGCAGTCTTGATTCAACACATTCACAGAAAGGGGGTACATACCTAACTTGCCTTCGTCTGGATAAACACAGGAGGCCTAAGTGACTTTTCAAAGCACTCTAATAACAGTAACCAGAGGGAACGTGGGAGCTGTGGCGTGAACCCAGGGCAGTACGGGGAACCGCACAGCAGAGGCCAAGAAGGAAGGCAAAGGCGGCGGAAGGTTAATGCAGTCAAGGTGGAAGAGCTCACGCCATCTGCACGCACAAGGGCACACTGAGGCAAACAGGGTGGCTTCTGAGCTTCCTGCTTGGGCACTTGGTTATTCAGCTCCAGGTCAAAGCTTTGGGCTTACCGAGATTTGGCTGAGACAGGGCCATGGACCTCTGGGGCGCTGGTGTGGAAGTGGCAGCGGGGTGGAGGTTCATGTGATTCAGGGGCTGATTCATCGCCTTCCTAGGGTCTTGCCATGTGGTGATTTTTTCTATGTGACTAAAAGAAGGAAAACAATTATCTTTTTAATTGTCAGCATCATTATCATTATCATCATCACGCATAACAGCACGACAATTAAACAATGCTGGCTCTTGGTCCCTGAGGATCTGCTCACACGTGGTGGATACACTGTGTTTGTTTTCATTCAAGCTCAGGCTTGCCCACTTATCCCTCCCCATCCAAGATGGGCCACTCTGGGGATTTGCAGGACTCTCTGAGCACAAACCCGTGATTTAGCTGTCCCAATTGTCCCTATGTCCAAAACCCTCTGAGGGGTTTTCTGCCTCACCAGGGTCAGGTCAGACAAGCCCCAGCTACCTTCCCCTAACCTAAGGAGCCTGCTTCCCCACCAGTCACTTCAATGCACGGTGTGAACTACTCCCCCAGTGCGAGACCCTGCTCTCCTGGCCTGCCAGCCCTCCCACAAGCTTCAGCTCAGATAACTGACAGAACCTCCGCCGGTCCTCAGCCAAAGACAGGGACCTCGAAACCAACCTTGTAAACATGACATTGCTGAGCTCTTCTTAAGGGCAATGCGCTGTGAGGTCCATATAGGTAATACAGAAAACCCTCAAGGAGCTTACATTCCACCCCACAAGGTAACAACTGTGTAGCTAGAGGACAGAGCAGCAGGAAATACGTATAGGAAGTGCCAGATTATGGAGAAACCCAGATGCTCAGGCATGAAGGTTTCTGAGGGAAAAGACACAATTGACATTTGGTCATATACAACTTCCAGTATTTGTTATTGTGACTTAATCTCAGAGAAGCTAGAACAGCATAAGCTTTTGCCCGGTTTCCAGTAAGTCCTTAGAAAGACCGAGGAGACCTCCAGCTTTGCCTACCTTCTCCCAAACCCCATCCCGCGTCATTCCTGGTGTCTTACATATTCCATCCTACTCCATAAATTCTATCTTTTTTTGAGTTTATATTTTTCTTATAAAGATGAGCATATTCATCTGGTGTCACACTTTGTTTTACCAGCTGTGTCAGAGACCTTCCCAAATTTATCAAAGGCAACAAGCTTTGACAGCAGAAACTGAAGGTCAGCCCTTCGTTCTCAGCCTTGCAAGTATGCTTTCTTCTCCCAAACCCATCTGACCAGTCTCAGATCCCTGTGAAAGGGAGTGTGATTGCTCTTTCTGTTAACACACCTTAATCCTGAGTGACAATGACCTCTTTTGAATCTTTGGCCTAGGAAATCACTGTGAGTATCATTAGGTTTAATCATAAATCAGTGCAATCCCTTGCACCAGAGTTATAGTTGCCTCTATTGCTTGTTCTCTTGCATTTAATGATGCCACTGCTAAACTTCTTCAGATTTCTTCATTCCAGACTGGAAGTTATTGCCACAAGAAGCCCATCCATTACCCTGAATGAAAACTTGGATGTTTTCCCAAGAAGGCCTTTAATTGAGTGTGATAAAAAAAAAAAGTCAGCCTCAGTAAAGGAGGCAAAATTAAGTTTAACTGAACCAGGAGGAATTAAAATAAAATAACCAAGACTACCTCGTTAAGAAAAATGTAAACAGAGGGGGAAGGACTGAACCAAAGGACTAAGAATCATTTACCTCAGCATAGAAAAGAAAAAGAAAGAAACAATGGTCTTGGTTACACCTTCAGTTTAACAACTGTTAATTCTCTTCAAAGCTTTCATAAAACCCTTTTGCCAGCTTTCAGTCATGTGGAAACTCATAGCCAGCCTGGGGGTGGGAGGGGGGTTGTCACTGGCCTTCCGAGGGAGGAGCCAGTTGATGAGGACATCAGAGTTAAGTAAACTCCCTTGAGCAAAGTAATTAGACCTAAGAAACCCTTTGACTAACTATTCCTTCAGGACCCATACTATTACAACATGTTTTCCAAGGCAGGCATGTCTGACATAAGTACCCTCCACTATGGTACTAAAAGGGTAAGAATCCTTCGTGAGCCTTTCTTACCCCCTCTGACACCATATCCTGTTGCCACACTGGAACCAGCATCAGCAAAGCTCTGGTGAGATGGGAGTGACACATGACACATGGTGGAAGCCGTGTAAGGACAGTGCTCCGGTCTGACATTCAGCTGCCAGTCAAAAGTGGAACAATACAAGAGCCAGAACGATGCATTCTCAAATGACAGACCCTCACTCTCTCCTCCCGTTCTGAATGAGTGGGCTGTGGCTCCCTAATCTGGAATCCCTAAGGGGTAAAACAGCCCAGCTTGCCTAAGGACCACCACCAAGGCTGGCAGCCTCCATCCACTGGGACAGGGTGGATGCAGGCTTTCTGGGCCAACACCACGGCCCTCATCTCGTTAGATCTGACCCCAAAGATGTACAACTCAGCTGTATCTTCAAGTCCCAGAACTCCCCCAGTACCGTGGGAGCCTCCACAGCCCACCCTTCAAACTCCACACCCAGCCAACACTTTTAAAAGAGTTTTGTTCCCAGCAGATGTGTTAATTAGAAGTGTCACTCACTGTATTCCCCAAAGACTAAAGTACAAGAGAGAGCCTTTCTTAAGTGAGCAGTTCTCACTGCTCTGCAACAACTCTGAGAAGAAAGCCACTTAAAGTCCCAGCCTCCCTGCAGACTAGTCCTCCCCACATCAGCTTTGCTCTAAGGCTCGGCTTATATGATGTCTATGGTAACTCCGAGTCTGAATGCCAAATCAAGGACATTGCTCACAATAACTTAATACACACACCACTGATGATTTGATTTAAAAACTAAACTCCCTTACTGTCCACATCATTTAACGCCCCCCACACCCCGACCCCATTCCCAAACAGGATAAACCATTCGCTCTTTCATACTGCTGTCTCATCTCTGCTCCCCTTCTCAGAGTTACTGACTCATTTCCTTTCTCGTATTTCTCAGTGTAACCTTACTGTTTGCCAGGACCCACAGTTTAGCCAGATTAATCCCCGCTTCCCTACTACTCCCACCTCCTTCCTGATTTCACTCCCTTGCTGAGTCTAGTTCAACAAAATATCTCTGCTGTTTTTAAGAGTCTAATTTCTTTTGAAAACTTACATATATACTCAATCTGCCTATATATGTGTATTCTGTGAGTACATATTCTGTACAGTTTTCATATTTGGAAGTACAACAAAAATGAAAAAAACATACCAAGCTATTTATGGTGAGATGTGCAAGTAAGAGGCCCACTGGTGGGGTGTTTTTTTTTTTTCGATCTAAATTCATACTTTTCAGGTTTTTAACAGTGATTATGTATTGTTTTCAGAACCAGTAAAAACAAAAATACTCACAAAGGTATAGAAAGAAAAAAAGGAAAATGGTGCATGGATCCTAAAGTCACAGGGTCCGAAAAGGTTACTTTAGATCAACTGCATTTTGGCTCATATCTCTTGGGACCGAAGAAGGGAAATGGGATAACTACCTGGCCTTGTGTTGTTCATAAAGAAAAAAAGTATACCAGTTACTAAGAGAAAAGAAAACTTTTCTTGACACTAATTACTTTAAAAAAGAAATCCTGCAAGGGTTTCACAGGAAGGGCAGGGGAGACCCTATAAAGGAGATAACAGGGGCATCCTTTCCTCTTCCTTAGGGGCCCTTGGACTCTACTTCCCAGACTGCCACAACTGCAGAGAGAACAAGCCAACTGTTCACCTCCAACCACCTCCGACTAGCCCAATGCAGAAGCAGGCTTCATGTTCCAGGGCCTGCAGTCACCTGGGGGCAAGAAAGGTCAGCACTTCTCTGGGAAGATGTTTGGCTGGAAGTGGTAGTTTAAGGAACACCGTGTTGTGTGAAGTCATTTTTTTCTTCTTGGATGAATATATTCTTCAAGAAAGACACAAATTCAGAAAGCCATTTTATTTGTTAGAGAAATTCTATGCTTGGGGTTAAAATATAATTGAAATCAGTCGGGGGAGGAGGGGCAAGGGGGATAGGCAGCAAACCACCCTCCTAGTCTACCTCCCTCTCAGCCTGGCCCCTCCCAGCAGCCTCCAGGGCATTGTTCACTTGGTTCCTATTTCCGCCTGTCCAGCCTCCTGAATGACCTTTCACCTTGATGAGCGCCCCGGCCTCCAGGCTTCCCTTCCTTCCATCTTTCCGGTTTTCCTCCCACCCTCCATTCCCTCCCCCACCCTCTCTACCTGACAATCCATTCTCTCTCCCACCTCCACACTCAAGTCCCAAGGGCAGCTGGAATCCAAGTGACCCCCACGTCCTAGGTCACCACTGCGTGAGATAAAAGTACTACTCACATAGCCGTTTTCCAGGCGACAGCCTACTGCTGAGATACTGTGGGTCTGGCAAGACTGCAACCTTGGTGTCACCTACACCTGCCTCTGACCTGTGAGGCCTAACTGGGCAAGTCATCAGCCCTCAGATCCATGCAACAGGTGTGAAAAAAAGCTAACACTCCAGTTCTTTGTTGTGAGGGTAAAACAGGTCTGCTCTGGAAACTTCTGACCACTGACGTCACCTACAGATTTCATGGCTAGTTCAAGCCCACTTCCTCAGCAGTGAATACCTGGAAGGCAGATCCAGCCTCAAGCCCAAGGCTGGCAACATTTGGTTCAAGTTTATTAAACAAGCATGGACTGTACACCTATTGTGCATGATGGACTGGTAGGTATAAAAATGAGAAGCATTTTGTAAAGATAAAACCCTGACTAGCAACAGAACCATTAAAGGCCAAGATAAAATCTTATCTGTAAAAATAGGATCTACCGGCTTCTTATAGCCCAGGAAAAGGCCTGGTGTTTTTGGATGAATTTACCCTCCAGTTCATGACCTATTATACTAACTTTATGGAAGGAAGCCACACAAAGACCTCCTGAAATAGAGAAGGCCTATGTAATACACTTTGTATTGCTGGAAGCGTACAGAGATATAAAAATAGGAATGACTATGAATGCTTAATTTTGAAAGAATTGAGAAAAGGTCTTAGCAACATAACCTGCTTGCCCATTTCTGTGGGGAAAGATTTCATCTTCAAATAAAAATGTTTTCCCTTTTCGCTCCCCATCCTCTCTGCCCTCACTTGT